TATCTCCACTTTGAAAAATCTTTGGCCCAATAAGTACCTAACTTGATGGCTAGTGTCTAGTTCGATGGATTGGACCCAACATTTTCATTTGGGCTGTTTCTGGCCCATAAAATCTGGCCCTTCTTCTACCTGAACAAGTGGACTTTTCCTCCCTTTTTATCAGATATGAGTATACAGTATACATACCTGCGAGATGCGCAGAAAATTATTTCTAAAAGTTAATTATCATGTCAAAATGTTTTTTTTATTTATAGATAGATTTGAACAAAAGATCGATCGATGTGCATACTTTTGATATGATGTTACATAGCCACATTCAAACCCTTTTGATAAAAACAAATTATATTATATATATGAGGCATCTTTCATAATGTATTTAATTATTCTAACGGATTAGTACAACAAATTTGTAGTAGCATAGTTAAGTCAAAACTTGTTTCGAGTACTAATTAGGATTATGTGTGAAGCGTTAATCAAATAGGGAAGGCAATCTTGGATGGTCCAAGTTAAGTGTAAAACTAATTATTGAATTCCATTTTCTCTCGATCGGTACTATTTGAGAAAACTAAAATATCTAAAAACATTCTAGTATTATGATACCCTCATCATCTTAAATTAGTTGTTTTGTTTCGATTTTGACATGCTCTTTAAAAAATAATAAATAAGAAGTATTTTTTTTGTTGGAAAAATTACCTATATACACAACTTTATTTTCCATAATTTCCATTATTCTCTACCATTTCAAAATATTTCTAAAATTCCTTTATTTTTCCTCAATTCTAAGTTAACCGGATACATAAGTATCCCAGCCTTAACCCACTTATCCCTTTCCTTTTTTCACTCCTTGAATCTCTCCCTAGTTTCACTCTACAATCTTATCAGTTACAATTTTCATCTCAATTTGAATTTAAAAAGGATTCTCTCTCCAATCAATCAAATTCAAACCACTAAATAGATACTTTTCGTATTCTCCATTATTGTTTTTTTCAATTTTTTTATTTTTTCATTCATGTGTATACTTGATAACTTAGTTGTAGTTAGTTGCTGATTCATTCATGCTGATACATTGGACACTTAGTTGCAGTTAGTTGTCGATTCATTCATGTATCTAATTGATAACTTAATTCTTATTTATTCTGATACATTTATAGATACACTTTATTTCAGCTCACATAGACCCTTTTTTCATAACCTTTTTGTATTAAGATACTTTGTAGTGCAAATTATGTATCATAACGTAAATTGATGGTTACTAGCTCGGTTATTAATTTATTTTTTTAGTTGTAATAGATCTTATGGATGTATCAAGTATAAAGTTCCTATTGTTGAATGGACTGTTATATTCATAATTTTGTATCATATACAATATAGTTTGGTCATGATACACAGTCAAAACATTTTGTAGTTGCTCTGAAAATCTGTTTCACTTCTCTTTGAGGAAGAAAATACAAGTTCTTCGATTGTGTCCTTCTTGTCCACAACGTCCACATGATATCTCGTCTAGTTGAAATTTACCACAATTACATATTTTTCACTTAAGGCAAACAATGTATCTTCTCCTAGCATCATAAACTGAAAAATTAAACTTAGACGACATGGAACAACCTGCAAACATTAAAAAATTCAGTGATACATTATATGAAATACGTTTTTTTTATGTTTCAAAGTGATACCTATGTAACAACAAACTAACACATAATGACACAATTTTGTAACCATCTTATGACATGTACCAGATACATTACAATAACTAATGATACAATCATTCACAAAAAATTCAAGATTGATTGATATATATATATATATATATATATTAATGTATCATCCACATTTTTATTGATTAAAACAAGTAATCCAAGAAGACTGATATACATTTATACAAATTCATGATACATACACTCGATATTCAAAACGTATCTGATCCATCTCAATTGTTAATTCATTTTGTTACATGTATCATATACAATCTATTATGATGATACACTTTTATACAAATCACATTCAGATACACAATAATAACCACATCATAATCCATAGATACAAATTACAATACACGAGCATCGTTTAATACTAATGTATCATGATTTACATATTCACATCAAAATGACAAAATAAAATTATAACCATGATACATTACAATACTATATATGTACCAATTTATCAATAACCAACTCACGAAATACCTCTGAAAATAGCAATGTATGACGATTTTATTTATCAAAATTTGAAAAATAATAATTTACAATACAAAACAACTAATCTCTTACCTTTTTTATCAAAACAAAATACAAGACAGAAGTCCTAAGTAATTAACAACCATCTTTACACATTAATTCACATGACAACCCAAAGCTCGTGAACCTTCCATCTGCTATACTGGTGGCGCTTATACTCCATTCATTTACAGTAATTTGCATGTCAATTTTAGTAATTAATCTAAGCCCAACTTATCCTGCTTCAATGTCTTTGCTTAGGGCCAGCCACAAGAAATTCCCAGCAAATATTCTTTTGGAACTCAATGCCAAACAAACAAACATATGTAGATTAGTTACCTTCTATGTATTCACATCAAAACACAATAATGACCACAACGTCCACAACTGATTTCGAATTGATGATTCGAAATCCTGAATCGTTTGTCCAATCATCTACAATGGCTGATTTGAGATTCAACATTTCGAATTGACAGAGAAGATGAAAATTTGATTTTTTGAAATTTGTGAAGCTGTTACAGATTGGAATGGATTGATATCAATCAGTTCTACGTGATTTGTGGGAAAGAAATCAGTTATGCGTGATTTGGGGGAAAGAAAATCAATTTTACGTTAATATTCCATATTAAGCGCAACAATCAAGTTTTATAATGTATCACAATTAATGTCTCCGGATGAAACTTATGTATCGGGATGACTGATATTTTAAGGGATTTTTGTAAAATAGAAAAGAGTAGGGATAAGATGTAACTTAGGTCTTACACTATGAAATTTATGTAAGTTATACTTTTTTTTTTACTAATTTACCCTTGACACATTATGTAATCATTATTTTTAGTTTCAAAAACATTTAATTTTAAGGATAGAAGGGGAAAAAGTTATTCCCTCCATTCTAAATTAAGTGTCGCTTTAGAAAGAAAGAA